TTTTGCTATGGAAAATTTTGTATTTTTATGAAAACATTTCCAAAGCACCTTTTTACGTAGAATTTAACGGTTTAAGTATATTTTTTTTAAAATTAATAATTTAAGAATTATCAACAGAAAATTTGATTTTTTTATATGGGACAACCTGTATATTTTTAATTTATTGAAAATAACTTAAAATTACCTTTCCAAAAATATAACACACTTGATATTTTGCTCGATTCCTCTTCGAGATATAGAGTATATAAAAATTCGCCCGCTTTAAAAAATAAGTAGGCTTTGAACGGCACCGGCTGTAATGTAAAAATGGCTGCGAAACGAAAATAATATTTGCTCTGAGAGATGCAGAATTTTATAACAATTTAAAAAATATATCTAACCAACATCAACACATTTAAACTATATCTAATAACAATAAAATTAATAAAAATAAATAGGAAACCAAGACATGAAATTTTGCTACAGGTGTTCGACATATCGACCGTCTTCTGTTATGGACAGACGGGGGGCAGTTTTTGAACATTTCTCGCGGAATTCATTAATTCAGTTGGGGAAAAAGATACCCTCTCATAACTGCTAAGTAGTTATAATTCTTGTCTAGATTATACGGAAGAATAAGGAACCTTTATTCTTCCGCAAATATATCTATAGGATTAGATCCATGGGCATTAAGTCAGGCGGCTTCGACGGCCAACGGCTGGGATCTTGGTTAGCTTTCAATTATTCTTGAAATTGGCTGCAAAAATTTGCTGATAACTTCAGCGTTCGGAGGCGGTGCGTCGTCTTGCTGGAAAATATGTTTTCGAGTTCCATTAAGAGCATACCATCAATAAGTGGTCCAAAGCCTACTAGTTAAAACTAGAGAACTTTTAAAAATTCTGTATTTCGAAGGGAATTAAAGCAAAATATCAAGTGTGCTATATTTTTGAAAAGGTAATTTTAAATTCTTTTCAGTTAATTAAAAATATAGGGGGTGTCCCAAATAAAAAATCAATTTTTCTGTTGATAACTCTTAAATTATTAGTTTAAAAATCATTAAATTCTACGTAAAAGGTGCTTTGGAAATGTTTTCATAGAAATACAAAATTTTCCATAGCAAAAAAGTTACAGCGATTTGTTAGAAATGCACATTTTTGAAAAACACCCCCTAACTCCGAGACGGTAACAGATATTGATGTGCGGTTTTCACCATCATGTTTTTGATGAAAATTCAGCTCCAAACACCGATATTAGTTTTCGTCTATCTCCTATAGAAAAGGGTGTTTCCATTTAAAAGCGTCGAATTTGACCCACCCTGTACATACAGTTTGGAACTGAATTATTATAGGAGATTGTACCGGGTGGCCAACTAAGAATGGACGCCGGCTGTATCGCAGAAACTACTTATCGTATAACTTTGGGAAAAAAATTCTGATAAGTAAATCGACCAAGAGAAATCACTGGAAATTATTTTCAAGTACGAAAAATGTCCGCTAGGGGGCGTTTGGCTGATAGCCAATCAGAAAACAGGGTTTTTCTCAAAAATATGCAGGTGAACAGGTATTTTAAATATTACTATTGTAATAATCGAGAAATTTGTAATTTTTTTGATACAGAGTGTTTTGCTCTATCTCATAAAATAAAGTGGTGGGGGAAGGTTAAACTTGCTTTTATTAAAATAAGGATAACACTGGTTTAGATTAACCGATTTAAACCATCATGATTTGTTTCCATCATTTTTTTCGTGGTAGCTAGAGGGCGCTGTTTGACATCATAACAGATATTGCGCTTTTACATAAAAACTTAAATAGGAGGCTGTATTTCCCTTTACACAGTTAAATAGAGGACAAAATTTCCAAAATATCAGAGCAAACCACAATTTTCTATCTTGTCTCTAACCGGATATATTAAGAGAACAAATTATGTTAGGCTGCCGCTTAGGATCATATAGTTTAAAAATTATAGTAGTAGGCTAGGAAATAGAAAAAGGTAAATTGGTTACATTAAAATATCAAAACATATATTTTAATTTCATTTTAATACCATTTAATTGTTATTTATCCATGTTCGTTCTTGATTCGACCCCATAAAGTAAAACCCAGGCATATTGAATCCGATGACCTAGCTAGCCATGGAAATATGCCGCTCCAGCGTCTCTATCTACTAAAGTAAGTGGTATCTTAGAAGCGCCCCACACATTCATAGCAAAATATGGGACATAACTGCACCAAACTGCATTATCTACACCAACTGCATTCATTCTGATGAAATTGCAACAAATGCATTTTTATCATGATGGATCCCCTAACATAATTGGCAATTCGTCTCTTAAAATTATGGATAGTTCATTTCATTCAGATAATCATTCGCCATCCTAGAATTCCTGCCTACACATGTACCGACCAACGGTCTTGGTGCTGAACTACTTGCATCCAGGGTAGATTTGGTTTGGTACACACCAGTAGTGCATATTGTTAACATTCGCACCTTCGGGGCTATATAAAAAGTGACCCAAACGACATAAACTTTATAATATAATAATAAATAACACAAACAACAGGTAAAACATGAAAACAAGTGAAATCAAGGACGAACTTGGATTAATAGCTAAATGACGCTACGTGAAATAAACCCCTAGTTTTCAGCCATACGAAATTTGGCCGTTTTCTGTTAAAAGCAATATGGCGGCACAAAATTCCTAGAAATTTTAAGAAAATTATTGATTGTCCGACTTTCAGACATTTTAATCTGAGAACTACCTAGTATAATTAACCAAGAAATTCGTAAAAATTATGTGGATGGACGATAATGTTACAAAGTTAAACACGTTTAAAAATTTATGACGTCATCTTTTTTAAGAAAACGCCCGAAATTCGGATGCATGAAAACTGAGCTTAAACGTTTTGATATTTTGACGTAACTAATTTACCTCTTTTTGTTTCCTAGCCTACTACTATAATTTTTAAACCATATAATCCTAAGCGGCAGCCTAACATAATTTGTTCTCTTAATATCTCCGGTTAGAGACAAGATAGAAAATGGCGGTTTGCGCTGATATTTCGGAAATTTTGTGCTCTATTTAACTGTGTAAAGAGAAATATATAGACTCCTATTTATTTTTTTTTATGCAAAAGCGCAATATATGTTATGATGTCAAACAGCGCCCTCTAGCTACCACGAAAAAAATGATGGAAACAAAATTTACACTGGAGATCATTAAGGAAGAAAAGCTCTTTTAAACGAGCCCCAGGTTGTTTAAATCGGTTAACCTTAACCAGATTTATCCTTATTTTAATAAAAGCAAGTTTAACCTTCCCCCGCTACTTTATTTTACGAGAGCAAAACACTCTATATCAGAAAAAATACAAATTTCTCGATGATTACAATAGTAATATTTAAAATACCTGTTCACCTGCATATTTTTGAGAAAAACCCTGTTTTCTGATTGGCTATCTACAAAACGCTCCCTAGCGGACATATTTCGAACTTGAAAATAATTTCCAGCGACTTCTCTTGGTCGATTTACTTATTAGAATTTTTTTCCTAAAGTTATACGATAAGTAGTTTCCTAGATACAGCCGGCGTCCATTCTTAATTGACCACCCGGTACATTATGAAACTAAACCTATCTTTTGCAACTCAAAATACACCGGATAATGATCGTTTTGGATCGAAATTATGGTATATTTGAATTTAACTCAACGACATGCAACTAATGCGACATCATTTTCGTGAAAATATGGAGATTGTACACTTTGGAAATAAACTAATAAAAGTTTAATCATCTGCTGATGATGCATGGTTAGCGAAACGCGCGTCCAGTGTATAAGTGTGTAAAAGTGATTTGGTGTATTGTGGTGATTTAGTGTTTTATTTTACTTTGGAAATAGCCCCCTCAATTTTTTTCAGATATTTTAAGAACCGTTATCCTGATTTGACTGAGATTTTAGGTGACTGTGTTTTGCTGAGTGCTTTAGCATTTGACTTTCACAAAAATCAAGAAAAAGTACGTGAAATCTACCCTCACCTAAACTACCCACATTATATATTATTAGTATAAATATTTTCCAACTCAACCGACGACAGTTTTGTTTTTAAAAACGCCCCCGCACAAAAACAAAAAGTTTTCCGTAGCTAACAAAAAATGTTTTTTGTCTCATCAAGCTATGGAGACGAATGCAATCTATTATGCTCTAATAATCTAGTGGACGACGGCTTCATAAAAAGCTTCAAAAAATAATAAATTTTAAATTAACTTACCAGAAGGACCATTTTATTGGTTCTTCTATTAAATTAAATTAAAATACTAGAAGGACCACACACACACATTTTACGAAAAGAAATCAGTCGTTGGTTGAGTTGGAAAACATTTATAGTAAATATTGCGTAGAAGTGGGTGTAGTTTTCACCCTTCCCGTACTTTTTCTTGAATGTGAAAGTCAAATGTTAAAGCACTTAACAAAACATAGTCTCCAACCAAAATCCCATTCAAGTCGGTATAACCGTTCTTAGAATATCTGAAAAAATGTGTTTTGGTTGTGAAAGTTTGATGTCCTCTGGCGGACAAACGAAGCCACTTTTGTATAATTGTAATTATGTCCAATGAACCTATTTTGATTCCAAAAATACGTAGTAGTTCCATACGTAGTTATGTCCACGGAATATTGGGACACCCTATATACAACAAATATGGCAATTCATTTAAAAAATTCAATTAAAGACAGTTAATCAGTTTAGTGCACACAGCTATTTTTCTGAAATCGTCCCTCAGGTCTTCGTCACGGTTGATGTAAAAAATCCATCTTAATAATAACCGACAGCGTTACATTTTTCAAGGAAAAGCAAAAGGAAAATTCCTTGTCTATTCTTTAGCGTGAAAAATCCAGTTGGGAAACTTCCTCAAGAGAAAACGTTAAAAGTTCTACCTAGAGTCGAATAACTGGAAACTTTCGTTGCTTCTAACGTTTTTCTTTTGGGTTTTCTCTCGTCTGGTTTTATTACAAGTCGCAAATAATACTTACTGATAAATCTGCAGTGGCGAAGTCGATGAAAGTCAGTTCTGATTCCTCGCCAGCCAGTAGAACTGAGACTGATTTTTCTCCACTTTCATCATCTAAAAATAAAGAATAAATACTTTTAAAATTACAGAGTCCCTTCTCTTTATCAATGTCTAAGAATTAACCTTTTTTTTCCATAGCAGCTGTTAAAATTGCCTTATATCTATCCAAAATAGTACTTTAACCGCAAGTGTAGATTAAATGATACTTTAACAGCGAGGATAGGTTAAAAACTTTATTTCTCCTCCCACGTTTTTTAATTATTGCTTCCATTTTTGAAAATTTTTGTATTCCTTTTCATAAGTTATTCGGGATTTAAATGGAAGTAGTTTGGATATGGCGTTTGTCGCCTCAGCCTGAATATCTGTTGGTAATTTACTTATTTCGTTTTGAGCCATTTCTGGGTCCAATTCAATCAGCAATCGACACGAAAGAGAATTAAAAAATATTGACTCAAAAGTGACAACTGAACAGACAGCTTTATTTATTTGTGAAATTACATAGAAACGAACGCCAACCCAGCACAATATTTTTTCTACTCGTAATAAATTCCTTGAAATAATAATTTCCGAATAATTTTTAAAACGTAACTCGCTATGGAAAAAAATATTGTTTTATACACGACGATAAAATTGCATTATTGTCTCCTGAAATTAATTCACTCGCGATTTCATCGCTTGTGAATTAATCTTTTCGGTCGATTAGGTTGTAAATACCATTTATCGTCTTGTATGAAAAATAACTATAAATCTATTCAAATTATTTCATTGTACAGGGTGGGCCAAATTGGACACTTTTAAGGGGAACACTTTCTATAGGAGATAAACGAAAACTAGTTCAATTTTCATTAAAAACATGATGGTCAAAACCGCACATCTATACCTGTTACCGTTTCGGAGTTTTTCAAAAATGTACATTTTTAACAAATCGCTGTAAAATTTTTGCCACCGAAAATTTTTAAATATAAATTCGGTTTAAATATAATTCTTTTAAAATTAATAATTTAAGAGTTATCAACAGAAAAATTGATTTTTTATTTAGGACACCATATTTTTAATTCACTGACAAGAACTTAAAATTACCTTTCAAAAAATATAGCACACTATATATTTTGTTCGAGTCCCCTCATTAGTCCCCTTCGAAATACAGAATTTTTTAAAGTTCGCCACTTTTAACTGCTAGGCTTTGGATACTTTATTGATGATCTGTCGCTGTCCCTAATGGAACTCGAAAATATATTTTTCCAGCAAGACGAAGCTCCGCCTCACAACGCTGAAATTATCAGCAATTTCTCCTAGGTCCTAGTCAACTATTGACTAGTAGAGTACGGTTTAAATGTAAAAAATACGAAAAAATATTAGCATCTTCTTCAAAAACGAATATCTTCATAAAATAAAGCTATTGAAATGAACCAAAAATAAAACTATCGAGAAAAGATACAACTAGATGATAAAATGATTTTTAAACTCCTTGTCTTGTTAATATTCCATTTTAATACCCAGCGTAAAACAAGGGACTCCTGTGATTAAGAAACACACCATTAACCTTATTATTTTACAATTGTCGGATACAATAATAATAATTTAGTCCTGATCCAACTCTGAACAAGCAATCAAATATATTTTCATAGTAATCTTTTTATGCCTCTGACGACGTAACAACAAAGTAGGAGGAGCCTATGTAAATAAATCCTTTCTACGTCACAGCAACGTCTTCGCAGAAATATCGACATGCCCTAACGAATGTAAAAGACAGAATAAAAAAACAAATGGATCTGAATGGAATTAAGCTCTTATTTTTTTTTCTGGAACGCCTGGAGTTATTGACGTCATCGTGCGGGTGCGTGAGACGGGAGAAATTTTGAGTGTGTTTTGATCTGTCTCTCGTTGATTTTATCTCACATGAATGACGCCATTAGTCGGAAATATATGCTCTTATCTCGCTCAAATCGATACCTGTATTATTTTATTAATTATCGGGGTTTGATAATTTGTTTACTCGCCGTATGTGATATTGGCACAGTAATATTTGCAGACGTGCAGTTTATTGTATAACAAGGCTTAGAAATGGCGCGTCATATTGTTAGAGATTGTGTTGTGGTTGACTAGATATCATTTTTAGAACACGTATAAAAATATCAGGTTGTTCAGAATTTCTTTTGCAACAAACAATGGGCTTTAACAACATTGGCAAATTTTTCTGCTACTGATCTGATAATACTGGTTTCCAATAAGCCTTGTACGGTTGATATTATTTATTTAAATAAAAATTAACTATACCGGGTGCGTATCAAAAGTGGCTCACCCCTATACATTTTTTTTTTCAGATAAAAAAACAGGATTTGGTATGACACAAATTAGGATTAATTGACGTATTCAATTGTTTTTGGTCACTTCCTGTTTCCCCGGAAATTACTACAACTTTTGATTTTTAAATGACACTCTCGGTATTTTTTTACTTTATTCGATAGAAAATGACACTCTGAATAGAATGACATATCATATGTCCACTTTTGACATTTTCGGATATGGTTTACTTGAAATTGTAACACATGCTTATAATATTTCCAGTGAACAGGAAGTAACCAAAAACAATTGAATACATTAATCAATCCTAATTTATGACACATACAAACCAAAATTCGTTTTTCATCTGAAAAAATAAAAAAGTTATACGGGTGAGCCACTTTTGAGACGCACCCGGTATATTTACCTAGTAGACTCTCTTAAATATTTCAAAAACGGAATTGAAGCAGCCAAAAAGGCTGACAAAAAAAAGATGCTCTCAAGTTACCTGTTGTCAAACAATACAAAATTAAAATTGCTCGACATTACCGACGTTAATATATTTTTACTGTACTCCAGCACTCACAATTATACAGGGTGAGTCATAAATAAGTGCAAATATTTTCAGGGCTGGTAGATCTCGAAAAAAGAAACATATTTTCTCCTAACTGTTTTTCAAAAAGTCCAAAATAACCGAGTTATTTTACTTTGAAAATTTCCAAAAAAAAGTTTTTTGCTTAAATTTTGAACCGCTGCTGGATGTTTTCTGGGTTTACTTTTTGTAAATTTAATCTACTACCTATGCCATATTATCAAGTTATGTTTTGGTTTGGTTTAGTTAATACTTTTTTTTAAATTTCCAAATTTTCAAATTTTTTTTCGCGAAATAAACTTCATCGTTTCTGGGGTCAAAATATACTACCCTTAAAAATATTTGCACTTATTAAAGACTGACAGTGTATATGTGCTAAGTGCTAAAAATTATAAGTATTATGACATAGTTCTTGTTGCTAGATGTATAATTTATTTAATAACCGATCTAATTTATTCTGCCTATTATAAAAGGTAAATATTTATCTAATACACATATTATTATATGCTTCGGACAAGCCGTCAACAACAGGAATATCAATTCTATGAATGAAATCGGCCATAATTTTTGAAAAATGCATTCCCCAGAATTTTCATACTGTAGTATCATTTGGATTCGGTGAAAAACTTTAGGTTCCGTTTACTTGTAAAAATCTTATAACACATAAAATGCGAAACTTATCGCAAGTAGATGCATAGGGCATGACAATCCAAGAACTATATAAGAAGAAGAAAAATATACCATAAAGTTTTACGATACTTTACAGGGTGAGTCTTAAATAAGTATAAATATTTTCAGGACTAGTAGATCCCGATAAAACAAACAAGCGTTTCGCTTTTGAGTTTTAATCATCTGCTGATGACGCTAACATGGTTAACGAAACGCGCGTCCATCAGTGAAAAAGTAAAAGTGTATTGGTGCATTGTGGTGATTTAGTGTTTTATTTTGCTACACTTTTAACCTTATTGAATAACAAGTAATATGGTGATAAACAGAATACCTACATCTACAATATTGTTCAGATTTATTCTGTTTAGTTTTGAAACCAACTCTAAAAATATTAATGTAAGTTAAAAAATAAGTAATGTGCGTGTTTCTAAAATTATTAACTATGCCACAGATTATGCTACTGATATACAGGGTAAGTCTTAAATAAGTGCTAATATTTTCAGGGCTGGTAGATCTCGATAAAAAAAACATATGTACATATATTCTCTTTACCGTTTTTCAAATAAGTTCAAAATAACCGAGTTAGTTTACTTTGATCCAAAAAAATATTTTTTGCTTAAATTTTGAGAATCACTGAACGGAGCCTTCCTGGGTTTTCTTTCTTGAAAATTTTAATCTACTACCAATATTGCAATATTATTATTAATAAATAGAAATTATGTTTTTAACTAAAAACTAAAATAAAATCCAAATTTTTCTTTCGCAAAAAAAAACTCATAATCGTGTTTCTGAGGTCTAAATATACTACCCCTAAAAATATTTGTACTTATTTAAAACTAAATATTATAACATTAATTGTCAGTAAAAATTAGAGCCATATTTGAGCTAACGTTGAAAGGTAATGCGTTAAAATTTTGTAGTTATAAAGTGCACCTCACCTTTACACCACTTATGTTCTTACGTATTCCACATACGTATATGGGAACTTCCCTCCATTGAGGTTACTCTAGTAATTGAGGAAATTTCGCCCGATGTTTGGAGCCAAATCCGTACTCAAAATACCGCTTACACTCGAAAGTTCTCCACAAAGTTCGATAACTCCTGCTGATATTAAATCCATAAATTCCGATAGTTGTTCGAACGCTTTCAGGGGCGAAAAGCAGTTAGTGATCAATTTATCCAACTTACAAATCGTAGTAGTTTGCATAAAAGTTTTTCCTTTATAATAAAATTAGATCCTTGTCAATGACGGTTAAGAAAATTAAAAATTAAAAAATTAATTTTTTTTGGATCGTTGAAACAAAGGACTGAAAATGGAATCAAGTATTATTGTTATAAACATCCCTTAAAGAGAAAAGTGACGTTGAATTTTGTTGACTTTATTGTGCTTATTTTAAATTATTTCTGCCATATTCTCCAATTGTTTTTATGCTAAATGTATAAATCTGCAAAGTATTTGTGTCAAGGCTTGAATTACATTGAGATTGTTCTTAATCTTAGAAAATAGAAG